CCCCAAAACCCCAAAACCCCAAACTACTTGTTAGCATACGAATTTGAGATGAAAAATACAAAAATAATTAATATACAATAGAAATCGATATTGTTAATAAATTTTAGCTTGTTAAATATAAGATAAAATGAGGAAGTTTAATCTCTGATATGAGCAAGTTATTATTGAATTTTTATTGAAAACTATTTATTTATAAAATCCTTAGGATCACTGCCATTATAATTTTACCAAGAATCATTTCTGGGAGATTATTTCAATTTCTGACTCTTATTATCAATAATTTTCACATCTTTATAATATTTAATGTTTATGTATAGTCAATCAAATCAATTAGAATAATGCAGCCAGGACATGCACTCTGTCTAGAATTAATAAAAATAATAATTGATGGAGGAATTAGAAGATTACGATAAATTTTATGACAGCTTCTTTGTTTAGCAAGGCAACGTTAGTAAATCAAACCAAAATTCATCGCTAAGTTAAAAGAATTCAGAAGATCAGTTTGAAGGATTACTCTTAGACATATTTCGTAATGAATATAACTCAAAAGGGCTTTCATCACACACTTGGTCTAGAAAAAACAGTACCACAAGCTAAATTGTAGATTCTGGCTCATCATTGAAAGAAGAAGAATAAACTGAATAGAAAGATGGTAATATTAGAATAACTCAGGAAATAAGTCAATAGGATTATTAGAAATAAGGTTGTTCTTTCAATACTACAAATGATCAAATAAATTTTGAAAGTAAGAAACATTTAGAAAATTTTTAAAACTTGAACAAGAGTAAAACCTATAAAAGATAATAACTAAAAAAATCAAATGCAACAGCATCAGCTAAGTCAAAGGAATAAATTCATTTTCTTGAATCTCACTTCATTTAGAACTAGCGTTGGTCAAATGAGAGAATTCAAGAGATGTCCAAAGAAATCGGGCTGACATTCTATAAGATCTATAAATGGAATTGGGACCGTAGAATGGCATTAAAGAAATATCACGAGCAAGATAAATACTGCGACTATAGATATATTAAAATATTTGAGGTCAGGAAATTTCCGAGAAACTAAGAAGATGTTCAAGAGATAATAAGTGATGATTCAACGGATTACAAAATCTTTAATATAAGAAAAATCTGAATTTGAAATAAGCTGCAATATTTAATCTAGTGGACAAAACTAAAAAGTAAAATATTAATTTTATTTGAAATTTTATTGATTGCTTTACCTTATTATATTATTATCATTAATAATTATACTAAATCTTATTTACGTCATCTATCCAAAAGTATATAATTCACACTTAAGGGGTTTTGGGGTTTTGGGG